CAGGAGTTATCCAGGGTTAGGGGCCAGCCACCAGCCCAGACCCAGTAGAAGGACTCTGATGGGGGCCCACCCCCATACACCTGGGTGTGAATTCTTGGGCCCAGGTGTTTGCTGGACACTGGGGGAAGGTCTTCCTATCCAGACCCAGCCTGGGCCCCTGGCTCACCCACAGGGCCAGGCTGCAGGGCATGGGACCCAGACCAGCAGCCCTCAGCCATCCAAGGTCTCATCACAGAGTCAAGTGGACCCGACCCACCGTCAGCTCCAGCTGGGGCAGTTTCAGAAGCCCCAGCTCTGCCAGGCAGCACTAGCAAGTCCAGCAGGGCACCTGTGGAAGGGGCACTTTTGTGGACAGTGTCTGTACCCAGCCCAGTGTACCCACTGGGGGTCAGGGAGTCTAGATGTGTCCCTTCCTCCTGCCGATTAAAATGCCACTTGTGTCCAGTCAGGCCCCGAATCTCAGTGTGGATCCTCAGGTTCCAGCCATGGAGGGGGGAGGGGACTTCAACTGCCACCCTACCTCTGGTACTTCCCACCCTCCTCATCCTCCCTGCTTCCTACCCCCTTTCCCTCCCTCCTTCACCCCCTCCACACCACTCTCCCTCCAGTGGGAMGACTGTCCAGAACTTCCTGGGTGTCATGCAGGAGTGTGCAGTTATACATGGTCTGAGGCCCGGACATCTGTGTAATCCTAACAGCAAAAGAGGTGTTTCTCAGAGGAGCAGCGACCATGCCAGAGACCTCAGGTCTGGCTCGGGGCTTAGCATCCACACAGCCACACTTTGTGAAGGTAGGGGTTGTGACCCCTGCACACATAACCCAGTCCCAGGCTCCATTTCCACAGCCTGCCTTGCACCTACATGTGCAAGTGTTTGTACACTTGAAGTGCAGCAGTGCTGGGAGCCCCTCTGCTCCCCTCAGGCTGAGGGGTCCGGGCCCTTCTGCTGGCACTGCAGGCCCCTCTCCTGGCTGTTAGCCGTGGATGACTCTCAGCTAATAGTGCATTAACCTTGGCGGGGGCTGCCAATTACTCCACACTAATGCTGGGGGTGGCGGCTGATGGGCTGACAGGCACAGGGACAGACGGGCGGTGCTCACCCTCCACCCGGCAGGGGAGGCAGCAGGGGGGGGAAGGGGTGGTGTTCCCGGCTCTGGATGGCAGAGCTGGGTCTCTCTTGACCTCATTAGAGTAATTAATGTGCCTTTTGAAGCTTGAGAAATGGCTCAGAGCTCTGGGAGAGGGGTGCAGATCACAGGGTGGGGGGCCAGGACAGACTTCATGCCTGTTAAAAATGTGTCCCACGGGGTCTGACGCACAGACAAGAGCTGATCACAGTGAAGGGAACAGTTGCAGAGACACAAGGGCACCGGGCTCTGTGCCAGACCCACACAGATATGAAGCAGTAACCAGGGCTTGCCCAAGACTCCCAACTGTGTCAGCTACTCCCTGGTGCTCTGGCGGCCCCTGTGGCCTCCCAACCTTCCCTGAAGGAGCCCATCCAAGGAGCCAGAACAAGCTGGTGGTGCAGTCAGGGAGAGCATCCTGGGGGTGGTGGCTGAGCAGAGAAGGACCAGGCAGGCAAACAGATGGGAAGGGCAGGGGATGCTCCTCTGTGCTGCAGTGGTGCACATGAGGAGGGGGCTCAGAGAAACAGCCCCACAGGACCTGCTTCCCCATGACAGCTCGGCTCCTGGAAAGCCAGGGGACAGCCAGTTAGTACAAGGCTGCCACCTGGTGGCAATCCCACGTCACATGGTGAAAAGGACTTCAGCCAGTGGGGCAGGTTCATCTCTAAGGAGACCTGGACTCTATAGAGGTGGACTCTGCCGGTCCTTAGCTGGTGATGGGAATACAGGGGCATGATGAGGAGTGGCACATGGGCCTCAGGCGGCTCAGCCACCACACCAGGACTCCTCTGGAACTCCCCCAAGGTGCTAGAAGATTGAGATGCATGGCTCTTGACCCCCAGGCTATAGGTAGCATAGCCAAGGGAATCCTGGAGCAGAGATCCCCATCCTTCACCCATCACACCTGGGCACTGAGGCCTGGAGTCAAGGCAGGGTAGACGCCAGACACATTAGCCAATGCCTCATTTATTGTCCCCAGCCCAGCACAAACATGCTCTGAGACCAATCCCTCAGTCCATCTGCCCACCAGGCCTCAGTACAGGGCTGCCACATCTCCACGCAAGAAGGGTGTAGGGTGTGGTACAAGTCAAGCTGGGGGACCTCAAGAGTCCCCAGTGGTGGTTGGGGGCCCCCAGGTTTCAACATACTTCCTTTTGCCAGGCTAAGGCAGCATCTGGGGAGGTAAGGCCCTGTTGTCCAGGTTGGGATCAAGCAGGCTTTGGACAGGCTGCGCAGGCTCCGACCAGAGTGCTGGGTGGCACCAAAGCCTGAGGACAGAGCTGGGCTGTCTCTCGCCCTTCCCCTGTGGCCCATGAGAACGCCTGCCCCCTTCAGCATCTGGAAGGCAAGAGAGAGAGGGAGGTGAGGTGTGCTGTGCTCAAAGGAGGGCAGCCCACCAGGTGCACCCTCCCCAAATGCCCCCTTGCTGGAAGGGGTTCCTCCAAGAGGGGGTGGTAGAAGACACTGCAGAGGGGCTGCCAGGCTTAAGTCTGCCTCCCTTCTGGGGATCTGAAAACAGAATCATGCTCCACGTTGCTTTGCCCGTTGGTCTCCTAATCCTCCATGTCTGTCCAGTTCCAGCAGGAGGGGTCCCCATAGCAGCCATGCTAATACCTGCTGAGGCCCCACCCTCCCCCATGCAAGCAATACTCCCTTCTGGCTCCCCGGCTTTTGCCCCCATGATCCCTCTGCCTGGATCTCCAAGACTGGTCCTGTCAAATGCTGCCCATGAGCCTGCCACAACCCTCCACCTTGAATGCTGACCTTATTCATCAATGTGGGGCCCATGGTCAGTGTGGCAGTCTCCCCACCTCTCTTTATTTACTTTTGCCATGCTGGAAATGGGAGCCTGGTGTATGCTACCACCCAGCCACATCCCCAACCCTCTTTCCCATCTTAAAGAGAAGGAAACGGGAACCTGGAGAGAAAGCAAGGTTGCCCAAGGGGGTGGTGGCCTTAGCATCAATGTCCCAGTGACTGTATCAATGGCCCCATGGGTCGCCTGCACCCCCACCAAGTCCTGCTATTTCTCTCAAGTCTTCAGATCAGCTTGGCCTTAACTGGGGCCCCTGGAGGTAAAGGAGGACTTTCCTACCATCTCAGGTTCCTTGTCTCAAAGACAGTCTCCTCATCACCACTGTCCAGTGAGGCCATCTCGGTGGGGTCCTCAGTGTTGGCCAGGAGCCCATACCTTCTCCGTTGTGGTTTCTTCAACCTGCACATGGTCCAGACACACTCAGTGGCTGTGTCTGCTCTCTCCGTCTCTGCCCCTGGCCCTCACTGTTGTGCCCATTCCCACCCCCAGAGTCCTGCTGCATCCAGCCCAATCATGTCTGTTTCCTTCACATTGTAAAAGCCATGAGGATTATTACTAAACGCTTTCGTACTGCTGGATGTGGTAGCACACGCTTGTCATCCCAACTGAGGTAGGAGAATTCCAAGTTCCAGCCTAGCTGAGCAACTGACACTGTCTCAAAACTTTAAAAAAAGGGTTGGGGGTAGCTCTCTTGTAAAGTACACCTGCGTTCAATCCTCCCTAAGGGGAAAATAAAAACTGTCCCTGCAGCAACAGCAAGTGAACACATTCCTCAACTCACCCCCACTTCCCCTGTGCCAAGACCACAAGAAAATGATGATGTTCCGGCTCCCAGTTTACTGACAGAGAGTCCCGGAGCAGAGTTAAGAGTCCACCAGTGCCCTAAGCAGAGGACTGTGGGCCCAAGCCCCTGCCTGCCTGCCGGTGGTCATACCAGAGAAACGGAGAGACAGATATAATGAATGGGCATACGCAACGGAGTCAGGAGGTGAAGGCTCTCCACCAAGAACTACAAGATTGTGCTTGGATGACGATCAGAAGGGACATCACCACCGATGTGATGAGGGCCCTTCCAGAGAACAGCTCCAGAGTGCCCCAGAGGCACAACAGAGACGAGGGCCACGGGGAAGGACAGGCGCTTCTCACCTTTCTAGGGGAAGTCAATCAGGAGAACCCAGAATGAAGGGGCAGGCTCCAACGCACAAGTCCTACACAGGGGTGGGGAGAGCAAGAGGACCCAAAGGGCCGCAGAGGGCTTGACCAGAGGCCAGTTGTAGCAGGCGAACACCAGGCAGCGGGTCCCTGGGGGCCTGGAGAGTCTCTATGCAGTGCTAAGAGCAGTACCAGAAAATAGGACAGGACACACGTGGCTGCCATACGCAAGAGAGCAGAGAAGCAATCTCTTGGTGTCCTCCAGGGAAGGAGGGACCGTCCATGCCATCCGCCTAAAAAGCAGCACCACCCCAYACTACCCCTCGCTGGTGAGAACTACCAAAACCCGCTACTCGCTGTGGGGGAGCCACGTGGCAGCATGGCCCCGCCCCCACACGTGACATGTGCCAATTGGCTTCCGAAGGGCAGCGGCAACAACTTCCGCCTGACGAACCTGAATGCCCGGATGAGGAAGTAGAGCGCCGCCAGGCCACAGAGGCCCGTGAGCACGTAGAAGGAGCGCAGCAGCGCCGAGCCCTGCGCGCCCGGAACCCACGCATGCGTTCTGTTGTGTGGCTCGTCCGGCAGGCTCCCGTTCGTCGTGGCGGGCTGCGGCGAGGGCGCGGGCGCGGGCTGAGACGGCGCAGCGTCCTCAGCCCAGCAAAGCAGCGCCGGCAGCAGCAGCAACAGCGCCGGCGGCACGCGCGGCCCCATGGCCCGGCGGAAGCGGTGCCCCGCCTCTGCTTAAGGCTGCCACTCAGACGCGCGTGGGCGGTGCCGGCCTATAGCCGGCGGGGGGCGGGGCACCCGATCGGAAGTCCCCTTCAGACGGCCACGTTACCCACAGTGCCCCGCGCCGGCCAGCCCCCGGCCCCGCCCCGCCCCGCCCCCGGCCTCCCGCCGCTCCCGCGCCGCACCCCGAAGCAGACACGCGCTTTCTGGGTGACACACGCCCTTTATTCAGACCGCGCGCCCCGCCGCGCCAGCCCCGCCGGCCGCCCGGCTCTTGCTGCTGCACCGACCMTGGCCCGCGGCGAAGCTCCGTTCCGCGAGAGCCGCGGGCAGCCCCCGGCCGGCTCTGGGGCACTTACGGCGACGAGCCGGGAGGCAGGCGGCTGGTCTCGCTGTCCTTCTGGTGTGGCCTTCCTGGGCGCGACCCGAGGTCATCGCTGCTGCGTCCGTGCGGGCCGCCTTCACCCTGCCAAAGCAAAGGAGCGTTACAGCCGCGTCCCTGGGCAGGGCTGCTGCCCCTCCCGGCCGCCCTGCAACCTCGGCCGCGGGCCCCAGGCGGCCCCTACCGGGCCGGCCTTGGCCTCTCCAGACAGCGCCGAGCCGCTCAGAGTCCGGCGCGGGCTCGGGGGTCTAGGGCGGCAGCTGCGGAGTCTGGACAGGCTGCCAGCTGTCCGCACGGCCGGGCGCTCCGGGGCCTGGCCCGCCCGAGGCCCCGGCTGGCCGCAGAGGGCAGGGCCGACGACCAGGCCTGACTTTAGTTCTAGCTTGACTTGAAAATAAAAAAGGAGAACCAAAAGCAGTCCACGGAGCCGTCCCCGGTGGTGCGGGACTCGAGCTCTAGGAGGGAGGCGGACCGCGGACGCGTTACCTCAGTACAGGCTAGTGCACTGCGCGCTAGCCCAGGGAGCCGCTGGTCTCGGAGGTTCTGTGGGCGCACAACGTCTGTCCTCCGAGGGCTGCAGCTTCATAGGCTAGCAGAGAACGCTCAGAACTCGTGAGGCAGGCAGAGCTAGCCTACCAGCCCAGGCTGTGGTCAGGGCACTGCGCTGTCCCTCTCTGCCCTGCTGCTAGGCTAAGGCCGTCCGGTCAGGTGTCTAAGCGCTGGCTGTCCCTGCTCAGGTGCCCGCCCCATCAAGCCCTCCGGCGGCTGCCATCACCAGAGGCACCAGGGCGCTCTGCGGGCTGAGCTGCTCCTCCCGGCACCCACCTGGCTCTCCTAACGGGAGGTGGCTTTCAGCTGTCCACAAGGCCCGACTGGGTCATTTTACCCTGCCTTCCTCCTCTAGCTCCCTTCAGGCCTCAGCTAGGGCCCGCAGACCTATGCTCGCTGTGCTCCAGCTGCTCTGTGCTTGCTCAGGTCTGACTGCGAGAGCGTGTGTTGTGCAATGAAAGGGAAATTGTCAGAGCAAGGTTCGTTTCACACGGTCTTTTAATCGGCTTCGTAAAGCCAAAGAAAACTGCGTACAAGAATTCCTTAGCCACTGCAAATACAACATCGATGGAGTATGCATACGTCTTCCAGTAAAAAAGGACAATATAAATAAACATCTTCAAGAACCTCTGCAGGGACGTCTGCACCTCTACTGTGGGGCGCACACAGCACAGATGAGCGTGCAGGCGGGGCTCCAGGGCAGCCCGGAGCAGTGTCCTACCACGCTACACTCAGAAACGTTACACAGAGTTGGAAAAGCCACAGCTTGCTCAGCTTCCGACAGAGAGCGGAGTCAGAGTCCACGTGATCTCAGAGAAGTGATGGGGCACCCAACTTCGCCAGGTGACCCCACTAAGAACAAAAAAAGGAACACAACCAAAAAAATCCGAAACCAAAAAAACCAGTAACCAACAACCCACACAACAGGGCCGGGGTGTGGCTCAGTGGTAGAGCACTTGCCTTGCATGCATGAGGCTCTGGGTTCCAACCCCAGCACTGCAAAAACAAAAACCACACAACCCTGCAAGTGTTTTTTTAAAAACCCATGGCTCATGGTAAAAAATAAAATCTGAAGTGCTTTTCAAAACGTTTTTAAAACCTTTAAAAACGGACAGCGCTTCCTTAAAAAAGAAAAGTCTAGTAATGAGGCCATCTTGGGGGTCAGAAGCAGTCAGGCTGGGTTGACAAGATCAGAACTGAAATGACTACAAAAGTGGGCATACAAGGAGGTGTGTTCACTACACATTAACGATTCAGCGAAGCTCCCAAAATCTTTAAATACACAGCCATTGGAAGGACGATCTTGAGCAGGAAGGATTTTTACTCGTTGTGTGTAGCTGAGGACAAGAAGCAGGCACAGTGTAAAGGCGCTGAAGCACGCAGCAAGATGCAGCATCCACTCCCATCCAGACCGGAGGGCCTCGGGAGCAACCACCCCCCCACAGCCAGGGGAGGGAGGCCGCAGCGGCACACATGCACCTATGCTGGACTGCACGGCGGCTCCCTCACACTCCCTTTCCTTTGGTCACTGACTGGTTTTTGAGCTTTACAGTAGAAACAGCTGAAAGGACAGACTTGTTCCTTACGGGCAAGCAGAGTGACAAGGTCTGAGCATGGAGCCTAAGTTGGAGGGCGCCAGGGTTTACTGAGCTCCCACCACAGTCACAGAATGTGGCACCCTTGGAGCGAGACTTACCGTAACTGTCATAGCTGTCTCTGTAGGAACCGCCTGAGCTCCGGTCACCGTAGCCACCACCCTGACTCCGACTGTGGGGAAGAGATACATGGGTGCTAAAGGACACCTGGACTACTTAAGCTCAAGCCTATACCAATAGAGCTCCAGCTCTCAAACCAGCTGCCCATGGCAGGAGAAGCAGAGCAAACTTGGTTACTGTCAAAAATTGCCATCTCAGGGTTGAGGTTAGCGCTTGTCTTGCTCTGGGTTCCATCACTAGCATAAGAAAAATGAAAAACAAAACAAAAACAAAAAACCCCTGCTACCAGCCATACTCCCTGGGCCTCCCACTTCCATGATCTGAGCACTCCTTCCACTCCTGCTTCTGCCACTTCCTCACCTCTCCTGTCTACCAGCCTGCCAGCTTTTGCCATGCCACGTGGGGAGCACCCTCCCAGGACCAACCCTCAACAGCCTCCCTTAAGCCCACCCAGGCTCTGCACCTCCTCACCTGCTGTAGTAGTCTCTGGAGCCTCCGTAGCCCCCACTCCGGGACTCAAACCGGCCACCCCCATAGCCTCTGTCCCCTCCCCCTGTAGAAGACAAACAGAACCAAAAAGAGGATTAGCACCGCTCACACCAGCCGCACWCCACTGGGCCCCCGCACTGCCGCACTCACCTCTGGAGAACCCACGGCCCCGGCCCCGGCCCCCACGGAAGAAGCCCCGGCCTCCAGTAGAGCCACCTCGGTACCCTCGGGATCGGTTGTCAGATGACTTGCCAGCCTGGTCAACTCGGATCTGCCGCCCGTCCACAGACTGGAGAGCAGAGGGTAGCGCAGTCAACCCCTGTGCCTGGCACCTTAGGAAACAGCACTCCCACTCGGCAGTGACCCGCAGAGGCCAGCCCTCACCTTCCCATTCATGGCCATCATGGCGTCCTTGGCATCATCGATGTTCTCAAAGGTGACAAAGCCAAAGCCTCGCGATCGCTGGGTCTCCCTGTCTTTCACCACCACCACTGGGCAGGAGAGAAGACCTGGTCAGAGCCCAGCAGGCACAGGGGGGGCCAGCAGCCCGCCGCTCGGCCCGCTTACCTTCCGAGATCTGTCCGTACTTCGAGAAGACCTGCTCCAGCGACTGCTCGTTGGTGTCAAAACTGAGCCCGCCCACGAAAAGTTTGCCTTCGTCCGACGCCATGGCGGCCTGCGGCACAACCAGAACCTTTCAAAGCGTCGCTCGCGGCTCCCTTTCCTCCCGCGCACCGCCGACCCGCCCTCCGGGAGCTCCCCGGCCCCCTCGGCTCAGCGGCCCCACACCCGGCCGCGGCCCGCCGCCTCGGGGCCAGCTCCACCCACCGGCCGCCCCGGGCGCGCCGCGGGCGGGGCCTCCCGCCCACCGAGCGGGGCTGGGCGGCGCTCGGCCGCGCCCCGCGCGCGGGCAGGGAGCGAATTCCCACCCTGGCCACTGCCTGTCTGCCGACTGAGGGGCCGGACTGGAAGGTGCTTTCGATCACTGTACGACGCCCCGAGGGTGCCGTCTGGGAGGCCGCCCCGCTCTGGGGCGGAGTCTCGGCTGTGACGGGAAACCTGGCTTTCAGGGAACGCGGCTACTTAGAGGGGCGGGGCATGTCGACTTGGACAAAGCATTTATTGGCTGGGGAGGACCACTGCCCAAAGGTCCAGAAACGAGGAGCGGGACTCATAGGCCACGCCAGGGGCTGTCGCCTCACACACACTGAGCGCGCCCGGCCTGGCGTCCTTTTAAATGTGCTACCACATGGGGAGAGGAAAACAGAGGCTCGTGGAGCGGGAGCCACGGGGTGCGCGCCGCCCCGGCCCACAACCCGGGACGGGCCTCCACGCGCCCCGTGGCCCCGCCCTCTACTCAGCCCCGGCGCATGCGCCACGCGCACGCCCTGCGCCACTCCATCCGGGCACTCGGCACTCCCGCCATTTCGCTGGCGCAGCCTGGAGCTCGCGGCCGCCATTTTGAGCAGGGCCCGCTAAGCCGGGGGCCCGGGTCTCAGGGGAAACGCCCTCAGGCCAACGCAGGACCCGGTCTCCCGCTGCCCCTCGCCGCCGGCGGGACGGACTCCACCCCGGGCCCGCCCCGGCACCGCCCCCTCCCAGGGGCGTGCCGCCGCGGCCCCGCTTTGCCTGGGCGTCTCAGGCCGCCCACCGCCCGGGCCCCTCGGAGTCGGTGCCGCCAGGGCCCTCACCGCTGAGTCGGGCAGGTCCCTGACGCGAGCGGGAAGACGGCACACCACACCGACCCGAGCCTCCTAACGCGCGAGTGAGGGGGGGGGCGCCCCGTGCCCGGTCTGATATATGCTGCCGCCGGGCCCCGCCCCCCCAAACCCGCCCCTTGAACCTCGTAAGCCAATCCGAGGCTTCTGAAACTGCGGCTGCGCCTCATATTCATGAGTTGGGGCGGGGCAAATTCGGGCCCCGCCCCTCCCCAGCATTGGCGCCGGGCGTGCTGATTGGCCGGAATGTTCCCAGGCCGCAGTCTCCCGCCCCTGTGCGCGGGGGCGTGGTCGGAGCAATGGGGCAGGGCTGACCCACTTCCGTGTGCCAGTACCCTGGCCTGTGGCGAGGAACAAAGGGTCTGCTGCCTCAGGTCACCCACCCCCTCGAATCGCTCCAATCCCAACATATCGACTTCATCCAGATGCCTATACCTATCCGAGCCCTGGAATGCAGATACCCCAACTTCCTCTGAATCCTGACATCAATCCTTATCTACTTGCCAATATAGCTGATAACCCCTGACTCCCAGAACTCCAAGGCTCCTGAATGAACCATTTCATGCAATCAAACGCAACACCCGGGGCTGGGGCTTGGCTCAGTGGTAGAGTGCTTGCCTAGCATGCATGAGGCACTGGGTTCAATCCTCAGCACCACGTAAAATAAACAAATAAAATAAAGGCATTCTGTCCACCAAAACTACAAAAAAAAAAAAAAAAAGCAACACCCAACCAAACCCCAACACCGACAGTCCCAATCATGTGAGCCCCAATATTCCCCACAACTCCACTTCTTCCTCCATCCCAACACTTTGGGACACCCCAGTTCAGTATGCCCACAAATCCAACCACATCCGCCCCTAACTATAACCCATTCCCTGACCTCACTCTCTCCATCCCTGGCAGATGCTTCACAGGCATCCCAACACTCACCTGGCCTGGCATTTGTCCATCCCAGGTCTATGTGCCAAACCCACACCCTATGTTCAAGTGGCTCCACCATGCAGTCCCCAATATTCCCAAATCCAGCTCTGCCTTTGGCTTCCCCGCTGCTACCAGGCATCCCAGTCACAGCCATCCCGTGGGTCTCCACAACCACTACCCACCCGAAGGTCAGGGCCCTCTATGCTCTGCCACCCGTGTCTTGTCCTTTAGAAGGCATCTCTTCTCTGGTTCTTGGATGTCCCAAGAGCACCTCTGTGATGAGTTTGCAAAGGCCTTTGCCCCTAAGGCTGCTCCTGGGGTGGGGGACCTTTTATGGCCTGCTTAGCTCATGCTGCTCCTAGACCACCTAGTCGAAGAAGATTGTAAATCCTTCTCTGTCTGCCCAGACCAGTGACCCACACTACAGCTCCTCCCCCAGAAAGTCTCGGACTCTGCAGGAAAGTTGAGGGTCATTGAAGAAGAGGCCCCGTTTTCCTGAAAAAATCCCAGCTCCACCCCAGGCCTCAAGCAGGTCAAAATGACCCAGTTATCTCCAGTGACAAGGTCACCAGTACCCTCAAAGAGCTCAAGGACCCCTTCCCAGGCCGGCAGTTGCATGACTCATGGCCACCCCCTCTGCACCTTGCCTCCCCGTCAGCAGCAACCTGCTGCTGCGTCAGCCACTCACGCAGGACTGTTATTATAAGGAGCAGAGAGACATCAGCATCCAGCTCCCCTGTGGTGTGGAGGGGGCCACCCACACCCTCGGGAGCCTAGACCACTGGCACACCCAGCCCCGGAGCAATTCAGGCCCGCCCTTTCCAATCTGAATCCTAGACCCGGAAATTCTTGTGCCTTAGTTTCTCAGGGATGGGAAGCGTCTCTGTAGTCACAATTCCGGGGTCATTCTGGGCCCCCACATTGCCTCTAGTTCTGAGTCCCTGCTTCCTCCTGGTTTTGTGTGGAGCCCTGTGTTCATTCACTCATTCTGCCTGCACCCAGTTATTAAGCTTACTACCAGCAATTCCTGTGTGCCAGTCCCCCCCCCCAGTACCCACGGCGGTCGGGGGGTCCCCAGCAAGGTGTGGATGTGAAACTGCGGAAGCCTGTCCTCTGCGCTTCTGCCCCTCCACAGGGTGCTCGAGTCTCAGCTTTGTACCGGTCTCCGAGCCTGTGCCTCTGTGGTGACCTGCCTGCGTGTACATCAGGCGTGTCACCGTGACTCACTACCCTCGTGCGGGGCTGGCAGGAGGTGAGGACCCCYTCTCACCCCGTCTGCCGCCCCTACACGATGAGCTCGAGGCCAGGCTCATAGCCCGGCGCTGACACAAGGGGGCGCCGCAGCCTCGCGGTCGGCGTGGCTGAAGCTTTGGCGACCAGCTCCCAGGTCCCGCCCTTCAGGGCCAGCACCAGCTGCGTGGCCTCGCGTGGAGTGTCGGGTCCTTCTACCGCCCCCAGCCCTCGCGGGTCAGGACGGCCAACCCGCAGGGCGAGTCCCTCCCTGGCGTGGGGACCTCAGAGCCCCGCTGCCTGCCCCAGCCCGCCCCGTGACTATGCCGGGCCGGAGTGGGGTGGCTATTCCTGTAGAGACGCTTGGGACTCGCCCCTGCCCCTCGAGGACTCGGGCTCGGCCGGGAGTCTCCCTGTCTCTTCATCTCCGCATTTCCCCGGCTCTGCGCCGCCGTCGGCTTTTTCACAAACCTGCCCCCTCCCCAGCCAGCTGTCTCCGACGGGGCGCCCCCCACCCATCTCCCATCCCGAAGGTTTCGCCCACTCCACCCCAGGGCTGGCAGCCCCGCCCTCCCTCGGCGAGGCGTCGCTCTATAGGTGGGGGCAGGGCCGCTTCTCTTCCGCCCTCCCCGCGGGGCCGGGCCCGCCGGACGCTGGGTCCTTTCCCGACCCCGGCTAATGACCGGGCGGGAGGCGATAATGAGCGTCTCGACCAGGGACGGGAGTGGTCCAGGATGAAAGACTTGTAGTGGTGGTGGGGTACCCCGGGGCCGCGTAATTACCGCCCCCTCCCGGCCAGGCGGGGCTGGGATGGTGCACCTGGCGGCTGCCAGGCGGGGGCGCAAAAGTGGGGCCGTCCTGGTAGACTCCAGTCACCCAGCTGGCCCCAATCCTCGGGGCCCAGAGCCAGGGTGGGGGATGAGCAGACTGTGCGTGCTGCCAGGTGTGGTGCACGTGTGTGCTCGTGGGCCTCGTGGGCACTGAGATGACTAGGGACAGGTTCGTGTGGACAGGAAAGTGGGGAGGTACTTGGGTGTACACAGGCGTTGGGGGGGGGGGGTGTGGGAGCTTGGCAGCCCAGTCAGGACAGGATCACATTTGCCAGGCATGCAAGCCTGTGTTCCACAACACACAGGAACGAGACCCCCAAATATGTAAACAATCCGGATATGCATGTGGGAGCAATCAGGACGCGCATGGGTATGCGTGACAAGGGTGGGCCGGGACCCACAAAGCGTATGTGCCCATGCCTGGTGCTATGACTCATGTCCCTGGGGTGGGCACTTGAGCTATGTCAGCAGCAGAAGGGGCAGTTTCAGAAGCCAGATGTCCAGAGCAGTAAGGGTTAAATCAGCCCCTACCCTAGGACCCCCAGGACCTACCTGTACCAAGGGGGTCTCTCTTCCCCAGTGCCTAAGGTTCAGAGGTCTGCAACACAGAAATGCCAGAGGGGGGCTGCACCTTGTTCCTAGGAGGGAGTCTGCATCCAGGATGGGGTGCAGGGCCCAGACTGGGGCTGGGCCTAAGCTGCCAGTGACTCACCCCCTCCCCACAGGCCTGAGTCACAGCCCAGGAATGTACAGGCTGTTAGGCCACATCTGCTCCTGGTCAGCCCAGGCCAGAGCAGGCCATCCCAGCAGCCCCAAGGCTGGGCCTTAGCAACACATATCCTGTGACACACCACACACACACATGTGCACTCACTGGGCACAAAGTCACACAGCCACCATGCACTGGGCACCAAGAAGTGCCCTGGGCATGAAAGTTGACTGCAGTCCTCTACTGCTGCCAACTGCATGCATACATGACAGGTTGCCTATGAGATCCAGAGGACACATGGTGACACAGTGATGGTGGTCAGGACAGAAGGCTCCATGCCTGCTCTCAAGACCACACCTGCTCAGTCTTTCTGTACTCCATACAATGCAGAGGCCAAGAAAGTGACCCCTGCCACTGAGGGATGGACAGTGGGAAGGACAGAAAGTGAGCACACCTGGCAGGATGTACAGTGACCTGTATTCGTRGGCATGCCACCTGAGATTTCTGGGAAATGCCAGAGTCCCTGCAGCAGCCAAGAACACCCTGCAGCTGGCCTAGGTGCCTTACCTGAGGGTGCTGAGGACATGCACACTGTTTCTAAAACCSGGTAAGGGGGTGGGTGCAGACTGCCCACCTCTATGGCCTCAGGGATGCTTAGCAACAACCCCCATCCTCTAGGGGCCAAAGGAACAGGTCTCCACCATAGCCATTCACTGTACTCTGGGCCCCACCTTGTGGCCCCAAAGCAGGGCATCACCTGTACACAGGTTCCCTGTAAACCCAAAGGACACAGAGTGGCTTCTGCCTGGGGCTGGTGGTTTCTCTGTGTCAACAACGGAGGAGCACAAGTGGAGATCCAATCCTCTCCCCCACACCCTCAACCTGGGGCAGCTATAGGGACTCACAACAAGCCACCCCTGCGTGTGGCAATCCAAMGTCACACAGCATCTGCCCACCCCAGGGGCTGCAGGGCCCCCATACAAGCAGATGCCTAGAAAATATGTCCATGCACCCATAGATCAGGATCTGTCCCTCCAGGGTCACACAGAACCAAGGGCCAGCTGAAAAGTGGGTGACAGGCAGCAGCACCTCTGGGGACAGGGGAGCTTGGGTTCTCTCTTCTGCATGTGGCAGTTCACAGAGTACTGTCACTCAAGTTAATTTCCTTCTTTGCCTGTATCTCCAACAGTAACCAAAAGGCTCCTGGCTGAAGTCAGGGGACAGCTGTGAACCGCCCCCCCTGTTTTCCACCCAGACCAGAAGACTGCAGTGGCCACGGGCGGGGGAAGGGGCGGGCCCAGGGCTAGTGGCCAGTGGTTCTTAGCCCACTTCTCCCACTGTGTTTGTTGGAGGGTGCTGCATGGTGACTTCTAATACTAGGGTTTTAAGGGAGGTCTTGGCCCAGGGCAAGAATGGGGGTACCCTTCGTTTTGAGGGTCACACAGTTGATTGAGGGATTGTGGAGGAACCAGTGCGGGCCTGGGGCAGGTTTATGGGGGTGTGTGTGGGTGTTGTGTACTTAAGAGCCTGGCAAACAGATGGCACTCAATAAACACCCTGAGAGCGTTGAGGGGTGTGCTGTACACAAGGGTCGTGCGTCTGGTGGCCGCGCGGTATGGGGCTGTCTGGGGCGTACTGCTTATTCTCCAGGAGGGCCGAGTGTGGGCAGCGTCCTGGGTGTGGGGCGGGTGCTGGGCAGTAGCAGCCCGCGTTCTGCGGCAGCCGGCCGGGTGGCCGCCTCCTGGGTGGGGGGTGGGGGCCCCGCCCACATTCCAGAGGGGTCGGGGTGCCCTCCGGCCCACCCGCTCCAGACCCGACCCGGGCCTGAGCCTACTCCCTCCCGGCACCCGAGGCAGCAGCTGGCTCCAGGGAGGGGCGCGGGGCGGGGGAGGAGGCTGGAATGTGAGCCGGGGGTGAGGGAGGGGGCCGAGAGGGGGCGGAAGTAGGGGAGGGGCGGGGCGGCCGAGCGGGACGAGAAGAGAGGGGGACGGAGACCCAGGAAGACCCACAGGAAGAGRAACGGGGTAGACTGACAGCGCCAGAGGGAACCGGACGCGAGCGGGAGGAGGCAAGAGGCAGACGCGAGGGAAACAGAGGCAGGAGGCAGTGGAAGGAGGCGCCCGGCCCTGCCCCACCGCTGGGCTGCTCACCTGCTCCCAGCGACACCGGAGAGAGCCAGTTCTCTGCCCTCCCAGGGCTGGGCAGCCGCGGGTGGGGCTGRAGTCACGACTCCCGGGTAGGGCCCCCACGCCCTCGGCCGCGGGAAGTGGCAACTCCCATTCCCATGGCTCTGCGAGGGAGGGCGGTTCGCGCCAGGCCCCGTGGAGGCGGCGGCGTGGGGAGCACCCTCAGTCCCATCTCCCCCAGGATTCTGGCCAGGGGCCTGGCTTCTTCCTGCCACCCACCGCCAGCCACCTCCTGACCAGCCGTGGTCTTTGCCATCCCCAGTCCTTGGAGCCAGCTGCAAATGCTCCTTTGGCTACCCCCAGGGCACTCAGGCCCCTGCCAGAAAGCCTTGACCTCCAGTGCCCTCACGTCCCACAGCTGCCTTCTCACCCACAGAGCCTGCCCACCTAGGAGGTCACCCCCTTAGCTGAGGCAGGCAGGTCCCTCCTGCTTGGGCAGCCACTTCGTTCCACTAGCTTCAGTCTCCCTCTTTACTCCTCCTCCCGGACTAGCGCCAGAGGCCAGCCTGGGGCCAAAGCTTTTGGTTAACATCCTCCCCACTTGGCAAATACCCACCCCTGTTCACTCTGACTGCTGCCTCTGTAAGCCCGGTTAAAACCAAAACTGAACCCAAGGCCGGGGGCAGCTGGCCCGGAAATTCCACCCCCTGGGTCCTCCACAACTCCTGAGCCATTGCCAGCCTCTCAGCCAAGTACTCGAACACACAGGCAAGCAAACCTTTCCCCCTTCCCCAAACTCCAGGGCTCTCAGCAGCCCTTGCCAGAGGCCTCCTGTGGACAGGGACCCAAGCCAAGCCCAGGTTCTCCTTCAGGAAGATACTACCAGGGTTTCCACCTATCCCTTACTCTGGCCCAGCGCCTGTCCAGCCACCTCCTGGATGTCCTGGCCTCTGTTCCGGTCTTCTCAGGTCACAGACCTGGGGACAGCCCTTCTGGGTCCTTGCCAGCTTGACCTTTTCCTCTCATCTTTGCTTTCTCTGCACCAACTTGCCTTCCCCGCTGCCCACAAAGGCTCCTTCTTTCATGTTTCCAGGCCTCTGCACACACCGTGCTTCCTACCCTGGGCACACCTTCCCTCTCCCTATGAACTCATATTCCTCCAGCAAAGCCTCAACCCCTTCCTCCAGGTAGTCTCCACTCCCTGAGCTCCGAATCCTCCCTCAGCCTGGGAGTTACAGGAGGGCTGGGCGCAGGGGTTGGGCACTGGGCTCTGGAGAACACGATGAAGAATTCAGTAGAAAATGCCTGAGCATAAAAGGAGAAGTGCACGTGAGCGTGCCCATGCGGGGGGGGGGGTGTCCACGTGCGGCGCCCTCAGGTACGCCCCCTCTTCCGTCCAGGCCCCACCGCAGCCGTCAGGCCTAGGTTGCATTTCCCGCCCCCAAGCTTGCGGGTGCGCAGGGAGAAAGGAGGGGCTGCTGTGCTTCCTGGCTCGCGCTTGCGCATTCGATCCAGCTGGGCTGAAGTCCCGCCTGCAGGTGACTACGGACGCTACTATTGGCCTTTGAAAATAGCGAACGGCGTATCCGCCAATGAGACTTCCCCGAGGGTGGGCGGGGCCTGGACCTCCCCACTTGGTGACGGGGGTGGGCGCGCCCTCCCCGCAGTGACGTCAGGCTCCTTTCGTGATGCGTTGCCCTGGAAACCGCGTTTCCATCTCCGCGGGTTTCCGGGGGGCCGCCCCCTCCCATTCAGTTTTTTCCTCAATGGTGGAGAAAGCGGTGCAGGGCCAACTCCGCCCCCTGCGAGCCTGGTAACCCCCTGCGCGTTTTGTGCCTCAGTTTACCTCTTCGCTCCTCCAACTCAACGCAAGGCCACCACTTGCTTCACCGGGCCAAGCACCCCCCTGGGCAAGTGTGTGTAGGCGCTGGGGTCGTGCAGGGTGCACGGAGGGCTGGGGTTGTTTCTCTAGGACACCTAGAGATCTCTCTCACGCCCTCCTGGAGTTTATTCCTCAGAGCCCCAGAATACAGCCAGACCTGGGCCTCCACCCCCAAGGCAGGCCCTGTCCCCCACTCCCCAAGGCATGGCCTTGACTCCCTTGGGGCCTCAGGCTGGCGGAGTCAGCATGCTAGGGGGCGGTTCCTGGATTGTACSTACAAACATCTCCTGTGAATCAGCAGGCCCATTGTGGCATCCTTCTTCCTCATCCTCTCAGTCCTGGGCGGCAGGTGATGGCCAGGGTGACGCTCCTGACTCAGGGGCTGGGGCTGCTGTTCCTCCTGAGCCTTCCCTTTGCACCTCCACCCCGTGGCCTCCAACTTGGGCGTGGGGGGAAGAGGACATTTCACCACGACCTTGAGGCCTGGGGATGGGCTGACAGGGCATCTGCCTTCCTGCCCTGGGTGTGGGATGATCTGGGGACTGAGTGGTGGGAAGGGCAGAAGGTCCAGGAAGATGTGTCCTAGGCCACCCTGTAAAAGGGACCTGCCCCTCCCCCCTGGGGGTTCTTGGATCAGGGCTGGGGAGGGCATAAACTTGGCCATGTGGACCTGGAGGAGGGTAAGGGGTCACAATTAAAAAAAAAAATCCTCTCACCCTCTTGGCCAAGGGCTGTTTCTGGACCTCTTTTCTCTATAAAGTAGGAGTATAACTACTGCTAACTCACAGCTTGCGGTGCTTTTTAAATGAGGAAATGCATGTGAAAGATTGGGTGTGGGATGATTGCTCCCTCTGCCCAGCCCCAAAAGACATAAAGATGGAACCCCAGAGGACCTTAGCTGGGTCCTTGGGGAGCCCAAGGCTGGCAGAAGGGAAAACTGAAGGTCAGGGAGGGGTGGGAGGGGCATTCTGGGGAAGTTCCTAGGCTGAGTATGGGGMAGCCAGGAAAGAGGTGTTCCTGCTAGGGCCTTTGTTAAGGCCAGGGCCAGAGGTGGAATACAACACTAGGGTGTGGCCATAGGGGCCAAGAGGCCATCCTGGGCTGGGTCCCGGCCTGCAGCGCACCTGACTAGTTACCCAGGCGAGGCCTGGGGCTGTAGGAAGTCTAGCTCCTGGGAACAGTGGCTCACCCTGGTGCTCATCCCTGGGCAGTCTCAGGATCAGCAAACCAGTGGTGAGACTCCAGGAGAAGTTCTGGCAGGGCTGGAGCCACTAGTGTTGGGGTCAAGCTCAGGTCTCCCTAGACACAGACTCCCAAGTCCCTGTTCCCATAACCCACCGCAGATGGAGGAACTGAGAGGAGCAGGCTCCCTGACTGGGTAGGTAGCAAGTGGGCAAGCAGGTCCATGCCCACACCCTGAGGGACTTCCGGCCCTGGGTACCAGGAAGTGGCCGGCTCCTCCCTTCACTGCCCTAGTGGCTTCCTGCCTACCCCAGAGCTGGGGAGAGGGTGTGAGAACCAGGAMGGATAGCAGGGCACACCCCCCCACCACTGACAGGCAGAACCAGACTGTTTCCTTCTGTTTATTACTTGAAGTCCCGGTGCTTGTGCAGGTCTTTTCAATTTGTTTCATACAGGAGACTCACGTGGGGCGGCACCCCCACAGCCCCATCTCCAGGGCAGGTAATGCTTGCTTGGGGGGCCCTGGGAGGGCACAGGGTATGGGCCATTTCCTGCCTGGGGCCTTCACCCTCAGACCCGCAGAGGCACAGACGTTATTTAAAAATTGTTAAAAAACAAAACAGAACACACATTTAAATAGGTATCCAAGACAGTTCTTCAAAAAACAAAATGTACCCCTCCCTTCTCCTCTTTTTTTCTTTTTTCTTTTTTTGGAAAAAACAAAAATAAAAACAAACCAAATCCTTGACCTCTACCCTCTGGGACCCCTCCCTACCCACCCACCCCCCACAAAAAAATTTACAGCTACAGTTAACACGTGATGTTCACATCTGAAACCATTAACTTGGAACACAGGAAGGGACAAGGACCTGGGGTCTCACCTACAGAACAAGGGGGGACAGGCGGCCAGGACTAGACTGACAGGTGGGGGCAGCAGGGCCAAAACACCCTGTCATTAAAAAAATAAAAAGTGTGGGAAAAACAAAAATCCACCCCCTCTGAAATGGCCCCAGCAAGGGGTTTCTCCCTCAGTCCCTAGGGCCAGAGACCCGCAGGGCCTGGGCGCTGAGTGGGGAGGGTCCCAGTTAGACCAGCAGCGGACCCCAGGGGGGTTAATGCTACACTTGCCCCCATCAGGGCATTCACAGCTCAGCACCCCCTCCCCATGCTGGGCAGGAGAGGCCCCAGCAGTCCACAGTCCCACATCCCTCAGGTTGGGCTGGAAGGAAGGTGTGGGGGTGCCCCCCACCCACCACCATTTCTCTCCCAGTTCTTCAAGCTCCCAACCACTATTGGCTCAGTCAGAAAATTAATAGTCTATAAATAGTCCCCAAGCTCAGGAGGGAGGTCAGGGAAAGGGGTGGGGCAGAACAGCACAGCTGTGGCCAGTGACTGGAGCGGGCGGGTGGGCTCTTCCTGGTCTGCTCTCCAGCCAGGAAAGAGTCTGAGGCCCGGCCCAGACCCAGCACAGCCCCTGGCCAGACCCATGCTGAACCAGCTTCACATGGAGAAAGACCAAGAGGAAAAGGGCAGAGGTGGAAGAGAGACAGTCCCCTGTGGCTTCGCTCCCCGGGACACTGGGTCCCGTCTGTCTGGGTCCTGCTGGCCCGGGGTGGAGGCCAGAGTCTGCAGTGGGGGTGGGATGGACTCTCCTCTCCACAGCCCCTCCCCTCATCTGTAAAGTGCATAATGAGGCATCTACTTTTTTGACTTAAACCTGAATAGGGTGGGGGGAGGTGAGGGTGGGAGGGGAGGAAGGCAGAGCGGAAGGGGTGGGGGCGGCTTCCTCGTCTCCCTCTCTCAGCCATCTGGAAAGGCTGCTACAGATTTGGAGCTGGGGAAGGTGGGAGGGGAGGACCCAGCAGAGAGGCTGGGGATGGCGAAGGAGGAAGAGGTGGGCATGGGAGAGAAGCAGGAGGTGCGATCAGGGTGAGGCTGTGAAAAAGAAAGGCTGGGGGTGGGCGGGGAGGTGGCCGCCTGCCCTCCAGAGCCGAGCTGTGGCTCTGGGTGTCTGGGATGCCCGGGCAAGGCCACAGGGCGAGGGTGCCAGATCCTAGGCCACCACGAACTCCGACTGGATGTCAGGGTTGACCTCTGGCTTCCACACCGAGTCCTCAAAGTCGAGGCCCAGGCCCGCAGCCTCGCCAGTGCTGCCGCCTCCTGCACTGCTGCTGCTGTCACTGCGTCCGGCCTTCCGGGTGGGTGGCCAGTGGTAGGGGCCACGGGCATCCCGCCGGGCCTTCCTGCGCAGCCTCTTCTGCTGCAGCAGGAGCTGCAGCCGCTCCACCTTGCAGCGCGTGGCTCGGTTCTCAGTCTGCCGGAGTCGGTCCCCTGCAGAGGATCAGCATCCTGTGGTTACTAAGGTCCAGGCCCCCCCAGGTATGCTGTGGCCTGGGGGCCAGGGCTCTGATGGGGAGGGCTCTGCACCATGTCCCTGGTGGAGCACTGCACTTAGGTAAGAGTCACTCAGTGACCCAACTAGAACTTGAATGCCTCTGGCTGCATCTGGCCCAGTAAAACACTGGGCTCATGCCTCAGTTTCCAGTTTTGATTCCCAGGGCTGTGAGACTGACTGATGGCCAGAATGCCCGATGGGCAGAACAGTGGCCAGGATTCATGGAATTTTGATGGGGAGTAAACCAGCCGCTGGGGAACAGTGGGTGGGGGGCGGTGATGAGGGGGGGCTCCTTGCTTTCCCAAGTCCTCAACGCTGGGGGCCCTTTTGCCCTGCCTCGCCTGCCAGAACTGAGCCATTCATGCAGGCACCAAACACCATCTGGACAGGGTGCCTGGGGGGTGAGGAGGAAGCGGGGCCGGAGCCCCCTCGGGAGCACACAAGGACACTTTGTGCCCCGACACACACACGGCTCCTTCTCTCCTGGCTGGGCGGAGCTGGGGGGTCCGGCAGCTGCTGGCCCTTGGACCCCCAGGCAGGTCAGCTGCTGCCTGTGCCCACCAGCACACAGAGGGGCCTTGAGAGTCAGCACTCACCAGGGGGCTTGCACATGCGGATCTGGCTCTGACCCTGCAGCAGGGAGGCCGGGGGCACTGCTGCCAGCTTCTCGCAGGAGGTAGTTTTAGGGGCGAGGTCGGGGGCTGGCGAGGCAGGCGAGCACTGGGCGTGGCAGCGGAGCTGGGTCAGCGAGGGGGGCATGCCCTGGTAGTGCCTTGTGGCGCTCAGGAGGTCATTGAGGATCTGCAGGATGGTGCCGATGTCCCGCCGTGGCCGCCCACTGCTGTCCTGGCAGTTGGGATGCAGCGTGCCTGCAGGGGAAAGTGGCTTTGAGCTGGCAGGATGCCCCCGGGGCACCTGTGTGGGTCTTGGGGTCAGGTCACCTGACCTGCCCAGGGACAGGCACTTGTGTGCCTGGAGGTTCCTGGGGAAGGGTGAGGTGCGTGCAGCACGCTCAGCCCCGCGTGCCTGCCATGGTGGGCATGGATGTGACTGCACGCGTACGTGAAGTTGGGCATACACAGCCTCGTCTGACATGACACCTACCAGAGAAGGTCCCTGAGAAGACCCCTGGGGCATGGTTCACGAAGCTCTCAATGACGGCGCCGGGTTTACGGGATCGGGGAGTAGGGCTGCCCCCTGGGGTGGACGCAGTGCTGGCCCCAGGGCTGACACTGCTGCTGGCAGCAGGGGAGCAATCCATCTGCTGGTGGGAGGAAGCACACGGGCACGGGGCCCAGGTCAGGTGCCAGAGCTGACGCACAGGATGCCTCTGGGGGCAGAGCCCTGTGGTCTCCAAGCCCATCCCTTCAGGTTCCAAAGACACCCCTCCCCATTCTCACCTCAGGGCAGGTGGAGGCTGCGTGGGATCGGAAGGAGCCAGCTGTGACAGGTGAGGGGGATGTAGGAGGGCTGGTGGGCACTGGGGGGACACGGGCAGCACTGGACACTGGCCGGCAGGAAGAGGACACCGGGGTGGCTAAGCTGGGGTCTCCACGGGCGGCGGCGGCGGCAGCAGCGGCGAGCACATGCCTATGTTGCAGGGGGGCGTGCTGGGCAGCCAACTGCAGCTGGACGAACATCATGTGGTCCCCCACGCGGAGAGCCAGGGTCAGTGGTGAGCGACCAGACAAGAAGTCACTGACCTGCCGAAAGAGGGACCCTTCAGCTGGGGGGCCCTGTCTGTAGCGCCCCCAGCCCAGCCCAGCCCAGCCCCCCTCATCGTGTGACCTGGGGCCTCTCGCCGCCCCTCTCTGGGCTCTGGGGTCCCTGTCGGTGCCACGGACGCTTAAATAAAATGAATCTGTATTTCCGGAAGCCGCCTCCGCCAGCCCGGCCCGGCCCAGGCACCGCTGAGGGCTGTGGGGGACAGAGGCGGGTCAGACGGGGGCCTGGCCCTCCCTGGCCAACTTGGTTCTTTCAAGGGGAAACTGAGGCCAGAGGGGGTGGGGCCCAGCTGGCGGTCACTGCCCTCAAATAACCCTCACCTCATCTCCTTCCCCATCCTCCTGGGTCCCCAAACCCTTTCTTCCTGAGAATGTGGGAGAGGGGCGGGTCTCAGGGCCCCTCCTAGCTAAATCACCCAGCCAGTGAGTGGGCGGAATTCCTGGACAATCCTTCCTCCTAACCTTTGCTTTCTCAAGATAAATATTTATCTGTCCTGGGCGGGGTGGAGGCCAAGGGGGCCTAACGAGGTCCCCAGAGCCTATGTCCCCAGGGCCCTCAACACACCCTGGTGACCAGGAACCCTCAGACCTGCCCCTCTGTGGCGGGTGGATTCATGAGTAAGTACATCTGACCCTATCTACAACAAACCCCTTCTGGGGCCGGGCCAGCGCCTTGTTCTCCCCAGGGAAAGGGATGGGGGGGCGGAGGTTTCTGAGAAGTGACATAGATTGGATGACTCAGAGCTGAGCGCCTCCCAGAACTCCCTCCCTGCTCTTCTGGCAGTGGCTGGCTGGCGCAATCCTCTCTGCTGGGGGCTGAGGAGGGGGACAGGAGGCAGGGCACAGCCCCACCCTGACCAGTCTGCACAGCACCCTCTGCTCAAGACCCCTGGCAGGCAGGGCCCTGGGGTGGCTTCCCAGAGCAGCTGGAGCCCCCTAGCTCTGCCTGCCCAGCAACTTCCTCCCTGGGGAGGGCGAATGGGCGGGCATGACTTGGAGCCAGGCAGGGAAGCAGCCCGGGGAGCCCAGTCACTCGCCCAGTGCCCCCCCATCTCCCTCCTGACGCAGGCACCCAGGGAGGATGTGAACCAATCGTGCCCGGCCCCCCTGCCAACCCAGCTAACCGCAGCCCCCATCAGGTAGCAGGGAGCAGTTCACACTTGCCCCAGGAAGTCACCTGCAGCCTCCACCCCGGCCCCCGACCCCTGTTACCCCCCATCCCACAGCCACCCCCATGATGGCAGACCACCAGCGGCTCCTCGCCCCTCGGCCCCCCTCCCCTGTGCTGCTCGAAAGGCAGGATGCTACGTGTCAAGAAGGGGGCGAGGGCCTTGGGGCAGCAGGAGGGAAGACCAAAGCCGCTGAGCAGGTTTCCTGTGGCCAGACCGGGGAGGCCCGGGAACCTGCCCACCCCCTTGCTGGGGCGGGCAGTAGCCTGCTCCCCCACCCTGGCAGCTTGCTGAGGCCTGTGTCACCCTGCTGGGAGGTGGCCAGGGCCCTTTTCTGGGGAGTGCCCAACCTCAGCCAAGAAAATGAGGAGAGGAGGAGGGGGAAAAGGCCTGGGCAAGACCTGGAGCCAGACTCAGGCCGGCCCCAGCCACCTCCTGGCTGCCTACTAAACGTTTCCCAACATCCTGTGGAGGCCTCCCTGGCCCTGGGCTGCCTGCCCCTGCCCCCCCCCCCTTGGGGCAGAGAACAAAGGCCAGAGAGAGGAAGGGGGGGTGCTGTGGTGACTCCCCACCCCCTTGCAGTGGGGGTCAGGAAAGCGGAAGGAGTGTCACCCTGGCTGGCCAGCACTCTGCACCGCAGCAGAAATGTTAAAAAAAGAAACTGGCCCATCCCTTTGGGAAAGCCTCACTGGCTTGGGGACTGGGTCTCTGGAAGGGGAGGGACCTAATGCTAGGCTGGAGGGACAGGCCCCAAGTGAGCTCGTAGCTCTGGGCCAAGGTCATCCCTCAGGCAGACAGGCTCAGAGAAACTCAGCCCCTTCCCCCTCCTGGCAGCCACCGTGGGAGAGAACCTCAAGGTCAGGTGGCTAGTGGGGGGCAGGAAGAGGAAGCAAGGTGACCAGGCCAAGCTGGCACCAGGCGGGCGTCCCTCCCCACCCCCACAGGCCTCTGGGGAGCAGACAACCCAGGCTCTCTGGGATGGCTGGCCTGCAGATTAGGAAGGGGCTGGCGAGGGTCTTACCTGGGTCTCGGTGAGGCTCTCTAGGGCTTGCATGACAGACTGCTCCGGCCTCGAGGCCTGGGACTACAAAGAGAGGAAGGAGGACCCGCCTAAGTGTGGGTTTGGCACAGTGGGTTTGAGCAGGGGTGGGGAGGGCCCTGCAGGCTGGGGTGGACGGCCCTACAGGGGGGGAGGCTGTGCACTGGCAGTGATGGTGAACAGCCCACCACCGTCTGTGTGTGTGGGAGCAGGGTCTGAGGTCTGTAGGGCCTCCAGGACACACCGCCCACAGCCATTTACCATGAGGCCTGCTTCCACGGTGGGCACCAAAGTCAGCTTGCTGCCATCCCCCACGCCAAACTCCTGCAGCTTCCCCGAACTGAGCCGGCTGCGGGGAGGAAGGAAGACGGTGAGACGGCAGAGACAACACTGGGACGCGGAAGCAGCGGCCGCGGGGGAGGAGGGCTGTGTGTGTGCCGCCGGGGGAGAGGGGGAGGGGGATAGAGAGACTGGAGTCCTTTCTGCCTCCACCCGTTCCCAGCTTCCAGATCCCGGCGGCGCRTGTGGGGAGATTCCTTGGCCTTGGGAGTTCCCATCCTGGAAGCTCAGATCTCCCACGATCCCCATCTTCCCACTGGGGTACCCCTTCTGCTGCTCAACAAGGCACTTTCCGCATTAACTGGGCACTCACATGCCCTTTGCCACAATCTTCTGCACCCCTCAGGGCAACCCCTGCCTAGGATTCACTAACTCTTGCCCAGGCCTCTCTTTATAGGCACCGAGGGCCTTCAGCTCTGGGTGAAGCCTTGGGGGGCTGCTTGGGGCGAGGCTACCCCTCCATCCCCTCCCTGGCGCAGGCCGCCGCGGCTCAGACAAAGGAGACCCTCCTCCTCCCGCCCCTCCCCCACCGGGGCCCCTCCGCTGGGGATGGACATTGCCTGTCCCCGGAGGCCCGCGGTGGGGGGGGGGTGACTGCCGGGCCTGGAGACGATTTAAATACCAGGAGGGAGGGGGAGGCTGCAGGGAGCGCTCAGAATCGAGAACAAAGGGGGGCAGAGACACAAGGTGGGGGGAGACAGCCAGACGCAGAGGGGGCAGCTGAGCAGATACGGAAGCTGGTGAGGACGCAAGCGAAAGAGAGAACGGCTGAGGCTCCCACTCCCGTAGCTGAGACCTCCGTGTTGCCCCAGGACGCCTGCTTCCACCGAGGGGAGCCAAGGAAACCCCTCTGGGCACTCTCGCCTCGGCTTTTGTGCGGCGACCCCCGGCGAGGGAGGAGGCCGAGGCAGTCAAGGCCGAGCAGAGGGCGCCCGAGAGCGCGCAGCGCCCCCCCTCCAGTCTGGCCGCCCCCTGCTTCCTTGCGCGGCGCGCTCTTTGTTCCCGCCCGGGGGCCCGGGCCCGAGGGGGCGGCCCGGCGCCGGGGGCGCACGGGCGGGGGCGGCGCGCGGTACCTACGTGTCTTTGTGGAGCAGCGCCAAGCGCTCCTTGGGCACTTTGAGTCGCTGGGACAGCCGTTTGCGCAGCCCTTCCACTGTCTCGTCCGGCGGCACCGACAAGTCGTAACGGGTCCCGGTCGTGCTGTGGATGGCCAGGCTCATGGGCGCCGCCTCGGCCGCAGGGCCCAGCTCGCAGGCGCCGCCGGGGGCACCGCGCCGGCAGCTCCGGGCGCCGCCGGGCTGCGGCTCCATCCCCGGCGCGCGCTGGGGGGGCTGGGGTCCGCGGGGTGCCGCCAATCCTCGCCGCGTCCACAGGGCCGGGGCGGGAACTCCCCGAATTCGCGTTCCTTTCTCCCGGCGCTTGGGGGCTGGAGGAGGGGGCGGCACGCGTGACCCTGAAGATCCCAGTGGTGGAAGGCTGATCAGCAATAAAGAATCCGAGAGGCGTTCCGGGGTCGATCGCGTCGGCTTCTCGGGGCGCGCTCCGGGTTGGGGTCTGCGATAGAGGCTTCTTCAAGAGTGAGAAGGGATGGGGGGCGGCCGGGATGAGGCGCGGCGCGGGGAGGGTCCTGGAGGAGGGGGCTCCTTGGCCGTGTGCGCTCTGTGCCTCTGCAGTTCGGGTCGCGCTACCTCAAGCGTCCCCTCCCTTAGCAACAGCCGCCGCAGCCGCGGCTCACAGGATCTGGGGGTGAAAGTAACAAGAAAAAAAAAGTTATAATGTATCAACGTTTCAAGGGGCGGGGCTGCCGCCCCCTCCCATTCACTACTTACTCCGCCGGCCCCGTCCCGACCAATCAGCACGCACCGAACGCCCAGTCGGTCGCGCTCCTTAGCCAATGGGAGCCGCCGCGGCGCTGCCCCACGTGGCAGTACGGCCAACCCCTCGCCCTGCCCCCGCTGCCTGGGCAACCAATGGGAGCGCGGCGGGGGTGGGGCTGGCACCGCTCCGGTTCCGCCCCCGCCCCCCCGCCCGCGCCCCCAGCCATTCATAAGGCCCGGAGTCCGCAACAAAGGGCGGGCGGGCCCGAGGGGCGCGGGCTCGGGCCCGGGTATAGGCTTCCTCCCCCACTGGTCCTCSCGGGACCCGCCAGGGCGTGGGGAGGGGGCGAGAGCCATTGTTCCCGGCGCCGGGAGGGGCAGGAAATTGTGGGGCCGCCCCACCGCGTCCGTCCGGGAAGCAGCCGCCAGCGGAAGCGGGAGCGGGAGCGTGAACCCCGCGCCTCGTGGCAGGGTTCCCAGGCCCAGCGGCCCGCCAGGACCCGCCAGTCCCCTGTCCTGCCCCTTCGTGGGTGGGTGCGGAGAACTGGGCGTGGCCGGCGACTAGGCCTGTCACCTCGGTGACGTGGCCGCAGTCTGGTGTACCCTTCTCGAACCGGTACTACCTCGCGTCCTGGTGCCCTCCTCCCAATTCCCTCGGCCCCGGCCCGTTTCCCGAGACGCGCCCTCCAGAGCCGTGACGTGACGCGACGCGGCGTCCCGGGCTGCGCCCGAGCGTAGCGCTGGATGCTGCGGTGAGTCAGCAGCGTCAGTGCGCCCTCTGCCGGCCCTCCCGGGAGCGCTGCGCCAAGTCCCGGGGGAGGGGGCTCTACGGAGCCTGGACAGGATAATGGACACCGAGACTGCGAGTCTGCAGGTGACCCCGATAAGGGACCGAACGTACTACGTGCGGAGAATAGAACTGCAATCTGAGAAACTGAAACCGGAGCAGCAACTAGCTCAAGGTCACTTGCGGGGAAAGGGGGAGTGCCCCAGGGGGGGCGGGGCGGGGGTTGTGGTCCCGCCCGGCGATGCCTATTGCTAGRAGCCCCTCCTACTCCACAACCGGGTGGGCTAACCATGCCGGGGGGCATCTGAAGCCCTGTGGGCCCCAAGAACAAAGAAAAGTAGGGGCGACCAGGTAGTCTAAAGTAGATACCCCTCTCTGAACAGCGAGGTCCCGCCCCCCACTCACCGGGCGTGGCCTGTCCTGTGTCCTACAGTTCCGAGTGAACCCACGCGTGAGGCCTTGTATGAAGTGCCCGGGCCAGTCTGGGGCCGAGCGGGCGGCCCCCAAGCCTTTATCTGCGCCGCCTTCCCTCGGGGTGGAGTTTGGGCGGGTAGGGGGCGGGGGGGGGGGGGCCTGGCGGGCGGTGACGCAGCTGGCCCCCGCCCCTGCCTGCTGACCGAGGCCCCCGGGCGCAATCGTACTGGGACACCGGTCTCCAGGCTTCTGTCTGTAAATGGATGTTTCTCCCGGAATGCCACTGAGCAGGGGGCCGGGGCCATGAACTCTGCACACCCGTAGGCTGGCTTTTGGGGCGAACAGGCGGGCTTCCTGCCCCGCCCCCTTCCCGAAGGCCAGGACCGGTGCTTCCGCTTGGGGGCGCCCGCGTGGGGGGGAACGGGAAGAGGTGCCTGAGTCAGCGGCCATGATCCAGGAAAACAGGCCAGTCACCTGCCAAGCAGTGGGGTGCTCGGGCCAGCTGCCTGGCAGCTTGGCCGCCAGCATCTCTCAACGGTGACCTCAGAAGGCATTTCTGGAGCGATTATCCAGCGCCAAGCTCACCTTGGACCCAGTTGGTCACCCCTGGCTGTGTTGTGTGAGCTCAGTAAGAAATTGACCTCTTTTTTTTTTTTCTACAGGATGGCTAGACAGTGAGATATGAGAGTCCAGCGGCTTACTCTGGGCACTGGAGTTGTAGGGACCACATATTGTCATTGTTCCAAGAATGCATGCACACGTTTGCCCTAGCCTCTGTAAAGGTGGGCATTCATCCATTTCACGGATAAGGAACCTGGCCACCCAGCAGAACAAACGGGATGTTGCAGTCTGCAGATTCTCCAAGGATGCCCTGGCTGGTAGCTTTGAAGCCCTCTGTTCTGCTCCCTCTGCCCTTGCAGGGAAGGGAGACCCCAGGCTCCACCCCATCACCTCTGTCCACTTATGTTTCCTTCCTTATCTGACTTCTCCACCTCATCCACCCCTACCCTGGTCTGGGCACCCCTCCCAGGGCTGTTCCTTTGCAGGTTTCCCTCCATTTCCCACCCAACTCTCCCTTGGCCTCAGCTCCCCCTAACACACAAACTGGGCACACCCAGACACTTCCAGCCCTGCAGGATCAGAGCTAGTCTAGAGGCAAAGCTGGAAGGACCTTTGAAAGTAGTCCTGGAGCTTATTTTTAAAGGATGAATAGGAGTTTGTCTCAAGACAGATGCTCAGGAAATGGGAACAGCTTAGCATGGTCCCAGAAGCCATTGCATGCCCAGGGAAATGGGGCTGAATTGGAGGAGGGAGGCAAGGCTAGGTCAGGGAGCTGGCCCTAGGACCTTTTGGTGGCAGAGAAAGTGGGGACCCTGGAAATCAGGGCCCATTGTGTTGGTGTATCCCTGGCCCCATTAACCTTATTCCCACCCTCCCTACCATGGGTGGGCAGTTGGGGGGCTGCTGGTGGGGTAGACGGGGTTCTGCCTGCCTAGTGGTGACACTGCCACCGGAATGCTGTAGGACCTCAGGCCAGTAGGGAATGGAATCAGATTGTGTTGAGGCACTCAGCCTGGAAAAGAGAAAGGTCCTTTGGGAATAAGATACTTTGTGCTGTTCCAAATTTTATAAAGGCCGGCATTCTACTTCCTGACTTTCCTTCCCATGTGGTGCCCCTGTCCCTGCGTCCTTTATCCCAGGAATCCCTGAAGCACTGCGTGTACACTTTCTGGGTAGGAGACAGACCTGTGTTCTGACATGTCCTTATCAGGCCAGACCCTACCATTGTGAAAGGATCTTTACCTCTACATTCTGACTCTACCCTGCTGTCCCCAAAGCCTGGCTCTAAGGTGTATTCTACCTCATGTGGGGACAGGGGTTCTGCTGGTGAGGGGTATACTAGCTTTCTGCTGTGCCCCTGCTGGGCCCCAGCTATCTTTGGTGTTGCATGTAGCATGCTGGTGGCCCATCAGGACCTGAGCAGCAAATGGCTGGGGTCTGGGTAGGGAAGACACACATATGACCTCATGGCCAGCACAAGGTTCCCAAGTTACTAGGGAGTGGCTAGCTCCTTGCCCCAAAAGAACAAGACACAGATGGATGCCAAGGCCGGCCCACTGACCCTCACACCGGGGCCTAGTGCATGTTGAAAGATCACCCCCAGGGCCCAGAGCATGCCAGGAGGCCCCAACCCACCAAGTTCAGACATGACATGGAGTCACTTGCACGAGGCTGTGACACACTGTGAGCTGCCCATGTACTGACAGGCCACGGGTGACTTCCCTGTCACTATTGTGGCTGTGATGAGGTGAGCAGGCCCTGACTCTCCATATGCTCACCCTGCACTCCCCTCCCTATCCTACTGAGATAGCATGTGGGAAGCTGAGACCCCTGCCCCATAGTTGCCAGGCAAGCACTGGGTCAGTCAGTCCCCCAGGGTTTCAGAGCGGGTGGGGCAGCACCCTGGCAGGACAGTGCTAGATCCACCCCCTTCTGGGTCAGCTCCACTCTGACTGAAGCCAGCTAGGAGCCTGGATGCCCACAGAAGTGCTGACACCACCCAGATTGGGCAGTTGGCCAGGCCTGCTGGGTGTGCCCAGAGTGGGACCTCTGTGGGAGCAGGTAGGGCCAGCCTCTTCCCAGAGCCCTGCAGCAGGAAGGCTTGGAGTTGATGGTGGATCACAGCACTGGGCCTGAAGACTCAGAACCTGGCAGAGGCCTGGGGAACCTGTCCCCTAGTTCAAGCCTGATCCCCCAAGAGCTCCCTCCCTCCCTATCCTGGTGGTCAACCTCTGCCTATTCCCACCCTCTTGGGGTGAAGGTTGGCACCTTGCCCACCCCCACCCAGCCAGGCAGGCTGTGCCCTTTTGAGTTGACCCACACACAACCAATGTTCCCAAGCCTCTGTTTACTGAGTATCCTCAAGGGACTATTTCCTTAGGTTCAGACATGCATTTCACAGAGCCACAGGAAACACTCAGGATGAACTAGGGAGGATCCTGACCCCACAGCCTTAAGCAGAGCAACAGAACCAGTGCACACAGTCAGGCTTCCTGGCCTTTAATGTGGGCAGGGGCAGGGGAGCATCAATGTCTCAGGCTCTGCAGGGGCAGGGGTGGTGAGTCGTTGGCCCATTAGGATGGGGGGACTTGGCAAGAAGAGCCTACAGGGTTACAGACCCCACATCAGGCCTGCCAAAGCTGCTGAGGGCTGTAGTGGCCCCAGGTATAACCTGAGGGGCAGCCTGAGAGCCTGGGCAGAGCCAGCACCACACTACCCCCTGGTGGTCTCAGCAAGTGAATGACCGGGACCTCAAATTCCCTGCTGGTGAAGGGCATGCACCGCCTATTCCAGGGCTTTCACCAGGGCCTCATTGGCCTCGATTCGGATCTGGATCTCTGCCCGAGTGGCCTCATCTGCTGCCCCTGACAGCTCCGACTGGGCCTTCTCCAAGTTGGCCCTGGCGGCCTGCAGGAGGTGAGTAGGGGATGAGAGATGAGCCAGCATGCCAGTCCAGCACCTGCCCTTCCTCTGAGCTCCCTCCCC